GTTAGAATCGCTGAGTGCTTGCAGTACGAATATCCTCATTCTGGCTTTCGGTTCCTTAACAGCAATCCAGTCAAAAGCGTTGGGCTCTGGGGTTCGGGATGTAGGGACAGGAGTTTATGTAAGGGCTTCTGATTTAGGACGCAAGCTTCAGTGAATCCTGGTTCACCTGGAAACTTTGATGTAGTTCCTTCTGCAACGCCTTGCAGTTTTAGAGCACCCTTGAATCCTAGACCCAAAACCCTACACTGCAAACCCTAAACCCTAAACCCTAAACCCCAAACCCTAAACCCTAGCCCTAAACCCCAAACCCTAGACCCCTAAACCCTAAACCCTACATGGGCCTGCAGTCCTTGAAAAGCCTTGGGGGGCAACGGCCTTGAATCCGGCATTCCTGGTTTGCACTCACCAGGTCCGAAATAGCACTCCACACGCGATGGGGGTTTAGGGTTGAGGGTTTAGGGTGCGGAGCTGCAGTTGGTATTGTAGAAAGGAGTTGGTGTTGAAAGTTGAAGGGTCAATGCACCCGGTAATCTTATTGGCTCAAGACTGGGCCATGCGCCTGGTAGCAAAAAGAAGTTTTGAGTTCTTGGTGTTTGCTGGTTGGTTCAGGGTGAAACCTCTGGCGACTGTTTGGGTTGATTCCCTTCCCCTTTCGGTTGCCCCCGTAGGTTATGAGCCCAAATTAGGCTTCCTGCGGTATAGGTAAAGATTTTTCGTTTGATTAACGCCATGGACATGATGCGGCGTCGCTCTGAGCCTGGACTGTCGCACACGGCCAATGAAGCCGAAGGAAATCGTGGTGATGGGGGTGAAGAACGACAACAAGTGGTACAAGCGCTGACAGATGGTAGGGAGGTTGCAATGATTCAACCAACGTCTCAGGTGGAAAACGAAGTGGTTCCGGTTCCAGCAGCAAATCCTTTCTGGAGCGAGCGGGCTCAAGAAGAAATGAGACTGAGGCACTCAAGGCCAGCAAGTCTTCCTGCGAGCGGAGGGGATAGAAGTGGTGAAGAAACAAGAAGGCCACCGTCGTTGCCAGAACTTCGGGATCGGGAACCTGCACCAGCTGAGAGGCCATCGTCAGGCTTAATGGGCCAGATGGAACGAGGTACTATTGGTGGAGCGCAAGTAGAGGAAGAGCTCATTCCTGATGTTGGTGGGGAAGAACAAAGTGAAGATATGGCGGTGGTAAAGCGTGCGCTGAAGGAGTTGCTTGTGCAAACAAAGGAGCTGGGGAACAGGTTGCATCGGGTGGAGGAGAAAAGCTATACCTCTGCTGCATCTGGGTCAGCTTCGAGAGCACGGAGCACTGGAGTGGTGGACGCAAATGCTGCATATCCTTTGGGAATGACTCCAGAGAAACAGTACCTGCCAGGACAAGTTTTCTACACGGATGGTATGGGTGGTTTTTGGACTGTGTTGCCTGATGGGACATGGCTGCCTATTGAGGGCTACGACCTGCCAAAGGGTTGTGATCTTCAATCCTTGCCTTGGTCCAGGAAGGGAGATGTTCAAGTGGAGGATGAAAAAGAAGTGCCAATGATGCATGTAGCTGAAGGGAAGAAACCCTCCAGATTGCCTCCATTGAATTTCCCCACGGGAGGTCCTGCAAGTGGTGGATATGCAAGTGGACCGCCTGGTTTAACACATGTTCCGATTACTTCCTTGCCATCAGGTGCTGATGGTTCTGCCGCACCTGTGGGGAACCAGCCCGGTTTTGTTTCAGCTCGGGAAACTGCGACGCAAGAGAACTCAGCAGGACCGGGCGGATATACAATGGTGGATGATGTTCCGTATCGGTGGAAAATGGTCGCTGGGAAGTTGGAATTAGAAAAGGTTCCGCTCACAGCTGTTACGCCTGGTATAGGACATGGACTGCCTCAAGGGCCTGGTGGTAGGGTCAGTTTACCTCCTGGAGCAGCGGTGCCACGCGGTATGCCAATCATTGGTGATAGTTCTGGAACCGAACGTCCGGAGGCTCTTGGGAAGCATGTGATGAGCCTTCCTACTTTGGCGGACTACGCACCAAGCAATCCGACGGCACTAGGTGATTGGATCGCAATGATCGAACCAATGTTGTCTTCGCTGACAGATACAGGAAGAGTGTGGTGGCAATGCGTCTATTCAAAGGCATATCAAGCGTATGCCAAATGGTTGAGTGTTTCTCCGCTGGAAAGGTTGGGCATCAAGGCTGAGCTGGAAGGGCTCAAAGTGGTTCAAACTGTGCATGTTTTGTTGGAGCAGAGAGCGGTGTCTTTACTGCTGCAGGCGATTCCGGAGAGATTGAAGACCGAGATCGTTTCCACTCGAATGTTGGGGTCAGTGATGATATTTTACAAATTGCTGACGGTCTACCAACCAGGTGGAGCAAATGAGCGCAGCACAATGTTGAACTTCTTGGTGCAACCATCTTCAGCAACCTCGATCTCAGAGGCCATCAAGGGAGTGCGTCAATGGGCGCAATGGCGTTCCCGATTAAGGGAGTTGAGAGCAGCCGAGCCGGACGCTACCTTGCTTATCAAGGGATTGGATGGTTTATCATCCGCGTTGCTGGCGAAACACCCTACGGTTCATTTCAGAGCGGCATCCTTTCGGGAGAAATTGGGGGTGGACTACTCGCCGACCTCTGAAACTGCGACACAACTAGCTGAAATGTTACAGGCAGAGTTTGAACTGCTATTGCATAGTGCTGGTGATCAGGAGGTGAAGCAGGACTCGGACGCCAAGAAAAGGGCAAGGTTAAACAAGGCCCAAAAGGGAACTGGTGACGAGACGGAGGAGGGTGACAAAGGCAAAGGGAAAGGAAAAAGGTACAGCGGTGATGGTGAACGTCCCTTCTGTTGGATATATGGGAAGACTGATGCAGGCTGCAAGTTCGGATCCCGTTGCAAATTTCGCCATGATAAAGACTCCCTGGAGCGAGGAAGATGTTTTGAGTGTGGGGCCGTTGGCCATCTACAGCCGCAGTGTCCATATAAGGATGGTGCAAGTTCCAATGTGGACTCGAACCCTGAGAGGAATAGATCTAAAGGGAATTCTCCCAAAGGGGGAAAGGGCGGCAAAGGTGCGAAATGGGGAAATGCCAAAAAGGCAGAGGTGGCTGAAGGGGGAGATGAGACGGCTAATGCGGGATTGGATAAAGGTTCTGCAAGTCCCTCATCACCATCAACACCCAATCAGGTCCTTGCTGAAGCGTTAGAAGTGCTGAAATCTATGAAGCTGTCATCAGCGCAGTCAGCATCAAGCGGGGATCCCAGTGTTCGAATGTTATGTGGCTCTGGGTTGTTTCAGCAGGAAGGGAGAGTGGCGTTGGTGGATACAGCTGCTACGCATCTTGTGCGGACGCTTTTTCCATGGGAATGTTTACCCGACACTACTGTTATGGTGCAAAGCGCGCTTGGTGGTGTGACAATGAGGATTACAGAGAAAGGGACGTTGATTAGGGAAGACAATGGGCCCCTGATTATCCCTCTCTGGTTGATTTTGGAGTTTGGGGCGAACCTCACTGTGATCAATGGGATGTGTCACGTGGGTGCAAAATCTTCGCTGGACCAGCTCTTGTGGTTTGAACATGGCTGTTTGGTTATGGATTACAAAACAGCTGAAAAGATGGTTTTGCATGCTGAAAGGCAGCGTGCGTCTTGGTCCCATTCTCAATGGAGGAATGGAAGGGCGGACTGTGGAGTCGGTTCGTCTGATGCCACGTTGTTGCCGAAGCAGGGAGAAGGCCGAGGAGTATGCGTTCTACACGTGGCCAGGGTCTCTGACACCAATGAGTGTTCAGGAATGGGCATGTTGGACTCGGGAGCATCACATCCTCTCAGATCACTTCGTCCTGGTGAACAGCTTCCGCAGCAAAAGGTGTTGGTGTCTTTAGCTGTTGGATCTCGGGAGATGTGTATTACCCCAGGTGGGACCCTGGTAACTCCTGAAATGGTAGATCCACTAGTGCCAATTGGCAAAGCGAGCGCCTTGGTTGGTCTCAGAGTTCAGTGGCGTGGTGGCAAGTGCACAGCCTCACATCCTGTTCTGGGGGAACTTCGCGTTCGTGATCTGAATGGGTGCCCTTGTTTGGAAAAGGAGGTGGCGCTTCAGATCATTGATGAAATGGATTGGTGTTCACCAAAGCAAGCATTGAAGGTGGCACGTATGGTTCAAGGGTGTCCGAATACGGACAACGAGGTGGCTGTAAAAGCGTCGTTGCAAAGCGCAGCGCGGACAGCGTCAGCGAATGAGGAGGAGTTCGTCCAGGCATGCTGGCGATTTCTTCGGTGGTATTATGGGGATATACCAGAAAATATGCTGATGGAGCTGTTGCCACGTGGAGATATTGCGGCGTTGCCTTTCAACCGTCATAAAAGGAGACGGCTGGCACGAGCAAAAAGGGTGGTGGTACACCTATATAGGGGTTGGACACAAGGGAGGGGCTCGAGCCCAGGATTTTATAAGGATGATTTGCTGTGGCCTTAGGGGTCGGGGGACAGATCGTAGGATGTACGCAGCTTGCGAAAAACTCAAGACTCACGCGGCCCCCCTTGCACTGATAAAATCCTTGGGCCCAACCCCCCGAAACACCTCCAACCCTGAAACTCAAACCAAGAAAAGAATCCGGACAGGAGATCGCAGCGGCTCATATGTGTTCTTTTTTCGTCTTCGGCCCCCGCTGTTCCTGCTGTCTTCTGTTGATTTCTCCCCCATTGTTTCTGCTAAATCTTCTAATTTGCCAGCGCCAAGCCGTAGCAACAACATCCATTAGGATTATTAGGGTTTAAGGTTGAGGGTTTACAATGTTTACAGGACGGATGTTAACACAGCTGGCTCAAACCTGTCTGCCCGCAGCTGACTCAGACACAGAGCCCATGGTGCCAGCGACAATCTCGTTGATCAGGTCCATGAACTCCTGTTTACAGCGTCCCTCCCCTGCCAACTCCTAAACCCTAGGCTGCGCATATTCTAAACTTCAAAACCCTAAGCCCTCAAAACTGAACCCCCTAAACCTCTCAATCCCAAACCAACTCCTGACGGGAGTGTGCTTCTCCAGCCAGTTTCGCGGTGATCTTCACGAAAAGTGCATGGACCGCGCGTCCATATGCCTCCCTCTGGCGGATTTTTGTGAACCTCTGGCTAACATGGGCCGGGGCTCGAAGAAGCAGCTCCTCCCACGTGGGACCAATCTTCCCGCCTCTCAACTTCACACGGCCTTCACTGTCCAAGATCGGGCGAGATGGGTGGTGAAGAGAATCCATTTCCAAGAGTTTCTGCAACTCCTGCTGAATCAGCTGCTCCCCGAGCTTTGTCCGGGCAAAATTTGCCGGGACAGCTATGATGTCCTTCTTCTTCTTTGAGGCCTTGGCTTTGAGGGTCATGTGTCTCACGAGCCCTTTCCTGAGCTGCTGCTGGATTTTGCTGACCGGTGGCTTCTTCGAAGTCCTGGCATCATCTGTAGATCCTGCAGCTGGCGCCTCTGCAACTGTTGCATCCTGCGCATCACCCGTTGCGCGACCATCATCTCCACAGGCTGTCTCTGCTGGCAGTTTCCCCTGCAGTTGCTCTTCCCAGCTCGTAAACTGATGGGCCTTCTGCACGATCTCCAGCGATAAGGGTGTGAGGCGGCAGCTCAGTCCATCCAAGGCTGGTGTCAAGACCTCCGTCTTCAAGATCAGGGCGACGCGGTGGACTGCGCAAACTGCAGCGTGACTGCAGGCACTGGCAACAAAGGTTCCCTCGGGCTCACCCTGCTTTGGCTGCATAGCTACCACACGCATACATTTGACGGCCTGCATAGGTGTGGGGAGGTGCGTTGGCTTGCAACCGCGAGCTGTCTTTCTCCATACCGTGAGTATGCAACCAACCTGCCACTGCACAGATCCCGTCGGCACAAACAGCACGATTGCTCCTGTTGCACACTCCTCGAGCTCCGAAGCGTCGGTGTTGGCAGACTGCTCCTTGAGACTGGCCGCAAGCGCTCTCCATGCTGCAGCGCGGCTGGTGCGCTTTGATGGAGCCCCAACCAGATGCCGCACGATGGCCATCTCACGCTCAGCAAGCTGATGCCAGTTCAATTTGGAGCGCACTCGACGGGTCGATGCAGGATTTGGCAGGGCATGAGCATCGGCTGGCGCCCTCAAGGATGTCAACAAGAGCCAAAGCCACGGCAGAGCTGACTCCACGCTCTTGGCCTTGCCATCGCCCACACCTGCTCGGGACAGCGCGTCAGCCAGCGTCAGTATGTGACCATCTGTTGTTTGCGGCAGATTGTCCTCGGTTCCTTGCTCAGCACCCTGCACTTCCTGCCAGCTTGCCTCATCCAAGACCGGTGGCGGAAGGCAACCACCAGCGCCCAGTCGCTGCGCCTGCTGATCATTCATCGCTGCCAACTCATCAATGTCCTGGTTGTCTGCCTGCTGCCGCGCTTTGATCTGATTGAGGAGCTCGAAGCACTTGGCGTCGCTGCCCGACAGCGATGGTCCTGGCGAAGGCTCTTGTTCACCATCGTTCTTGTGAATGTGGGGCGCCTGCTCCTCGTCCTCTACAAAGTCCTCGGCAAATTCGCCTTCTTCTCCAGCCTCTTCGCTCCAAGGTTCTTGAGGTTCATCCACACTCACGTCCTGCCGACGGGCACAGTACTGCACGTAGCTTCGAAGCAAGGTCTCTGCTGTGGTATCACTGCACGACGCCATCAGGTCCAGCGCAGCCTGCAATGCCCGTTTGGCACACATGGCAAACTCTGCATCCGAGATTGCCTCTGTGGTGTTGGACCGGATCCGCTGCGGCGGCTGCTTGCTCAACCTGCAAGATGTTTGTTGCATCTTACGTCCGGCTGCGTAAAGAAAGTCTCTGATGGTCATTTGCGAGGAAGGAAATTGACCTCTGAGGTATCCGAACCACTGTTCCAGTGGTAGTTCGGACGACCTCCAAGGATACCATGGGGAATCCGGGCCGACGCTGGCACACGCCACGGTGATCATGCCCACGAGCTGCTGAACATTGGTTTGCGTGACCCGGTGCAACCAGCAGCTGCCCTTCTGTAGGCCAAGCTCACCGCAAGCCTTGTCCGCTTCCATCGCACCCAAATCTAGCAGCACAAAGCTGGTTAAGCAATTTTCCAAACGTTGCCTGGTGCTCAAACCTGGATGAAACACGGCGGAGACTGCCAGGCAGGAAGTCAAGTTCATCAGGAGTGCTCCTACGAGAGACCAAGGCACTTGGACACCAGCCACATCGGGCACCAAGTCGGTGATGTAGTGGAAAGAGTTGAAGAAGCTCGCAGCCTCGAGGTCCGACTGCCCATCGTAGCCTTGGAAGGCCCCCGGCGGCATCTTGAGGTCCAAGCAGGCGGAGAAGTCAACGAAGTACTTTCCGAAACGTATTGTTCTGGCTGGACTGCGACATTGGCCCGCCATGTTCTTCTGTACGTGGGCTGGCCCATTCAGGCCGAAAAGGACTTGCCCATCGACAACAGGTTTCTTGAATGGCAGGCGAGGCAAGCTGCAATCAGGGAGCGGGGCATATGTCACGCGGCTCCAAAAGGGAAGAGTTTGCACCACATCCGAGCTGATCCCAGTTGCTTGTCCGAGAAGGAAAGATTTGATGTAGGAGTGCTGCGTCGCATTGTCCAGCACGATGGTTTTCACCCGACTCGCACCGGCCAGCACCTGCCCGGACAAGCGCAGCATGTCCAGAGCGGAGCTTTCCCGCGAGGTCGGAATGTGGCATGCTGAAAAGCGTGGCAAGCCTTGGACAGCAGGGTCCCAGAGCAGGAACTCAAGCATTTCATGCGCGTAGTTGAGAGAAGAGGCGTCCCACTTGAGCGGTTCAGGAGCACCAGGAGCTGTCTCCGAGTCTGCTGATCCTGCTTCTGGCGCAGGCGGTGACTTCAGCGGCAGGAAACCCTTGCTCCCGTCGTCCACGTCACTCGCACCAGCCTTCGGTGCGGGGTCGAAGGCTGTTCCCACGTATCCCCTGCCGGCACGGAGCTGAATGATGTCAATGCCCTTGAGTATGTAGGTTTTGTCCAAGGCTAGGGTCAAAAACCGGGCCGGCTTGGATGGCTTGGCGGAGGATAAGGTGTCCGATGTCCTCGGCACTGCTAGCTGGTTCTCGATGAGCATGCAATTGTGTTGCAAGCCTTCCAGGTTCAGCTGGGCGAGGAAAGGCTCCGGGAGGCTCTTTGCAAACATGTTGTTGAGAGCCAAGCGCGGAATGGTGAAAGACAATCCAAATTGCTGCACCAAGTGAAGATTCGAAGCTGCCATAGCCATACTTACGCCGGCCTCGGCCATCATGGATAGCTCCAGCTGCGAGAGCTGAAGACCCCGCATCCCAGATGTGCCCCGTTTGGCCCGCTCTGCCTGTTCGATTGCCGCTACCAGTATACCTTGAACCACTGGGTGTTCATGAAGGGCGCCACTTGCAACGTGGCACGCTAACTTGAGCTCCACGTCCGAAACGCTTGTCAGACAGTTCCGCCGAACCTTGTCAGCCAGGCTTCGTATCGAAGCACCTGGAGCGGCCAGTCGAGGATCCCAGGTAGACGCTGCGATCTTGAGACATGGCATGACCTGGCCAGCGATGAAATCCCCGAGAGCCTTGCTCCAACGACTGGGCGCCACCGACAGAAACTGACTACGCACGTAACTTTGCAAGGCCACCAAGTTCAAGCCGAACATGTCGTCCAGTTCTTTGGAAAGCAAGGGGTACGCTGGGCTGCTCTTGATCTCCTCGGTGAGAGTACTCAAACCATCGGGATCGAAGCAGCGAGCAGACAAGAGCTTGGCCGCGCTGTACTTCTTGTAGAACCGCAGCATCATGCGGATTATGCTCCTGTTGTTTCCGAGCTCCGAGCATACAGAGCACATGGGGGGCACACCCTTCTCCACGATGGAGCCATCCTCTGCAGCACAGCTGTGATGCCGGATGACATAGCTGTGGGACGGGACGTCGTAGGTGTAGGTGTGATTAAACTCACCGGCCTCACCTTTAACAAACTGCGAGGAATTCATGACCTTCGTGATGGAGTAGGACGCCCAGAGCTCGAACATGTCACCGAGCTGCACTACCTTCGCTGACTTCGGTCCGCGGCGGACCCAGAAACCTTGGCACTGAAGCATCTGGGTCTTCTGCGTCATCACATTCCCATCTTCCGGACCAGCCTCCGCATCCTTAACGGGCAACCTCCCAGACCCCACCCCCCGAGACACGGGAGCTGCAGACGACGCCTGGGCGAGCTTGGCGGCATTCTTCACGTGCGTTGCTCCATTTACGTGCTGCTTGACGAACCGCAAGGTGGTCGAGGATATCATGTCGAAAACAGCATACTGTTGAGTAGCCTTGCGTTTGCAGGCCTTGCACCTGATAGGATGCCGCTTGCTGAATTCTCCTTCTGCCAGAAGCTCCAGCAACGGGTGGTCCCTGACAACTTGTCGTTTGTCCTCGCCATCTTCCTCATAGCCGACGAGAGTGAGGATGTCAGGCTTTGCCCGTGGAACATCAGGACAAGGAGCCTCAGCAACATGAGCAGCAACAACCAAAGCTAGATCGTGGTGGCTAGCTGCCTTCTCATCCTCATCATCCTTGAATCCTTGTCCTCCTCTTTAACGGGCTGTGTCCCATCCACCCGCTGCTGGCCGGCTGTGGCGGACTGGGCAGGTGCTTGTAGGCGCTGCGCCGCAGCACCTTGCAGAAGAGCCATCTCAAAGCCAGCCTCTGCCAGCAACTGCATACACTTGGTGCATCTCTGAGGCATCGCACCGCTGTGCAGCAGAGCAATCATAGCCCCCCATCCGCCGACAGGACAGTCGACAGCACCTTTGAGTGGAGCCTTATCTGTGTGCAGCCGGAGGTGATCATCGTAGGTCAAGCCTCTTGCGGCTAAGTGCAACCGAACAGCCTTCAAACAGGACTTCTTGTCACTCTTCTGCTTCCGCTCGTCTTGAGCACGCTGCCTGTCAACTGGATCCTGGGGCAAGGGTTGTCTGCCGCGACGCTTCTTGTTCTGCCCGGGAAGAATGTCGCCAAGGATGGGCTCCCGCTTGATCTGTGTGCTCCCCTGCTTGCTTTCCTGCTTCACTTGAGGAAGCTCGGCTGACACAGGGACACTGGCGCCAGACTCAGGCCGCGGGACGACCAGGCCAGCGCCGATTGCTTTACGGGCTGTTTGCGATAGCTTTGGCGGTGTGTGCGCACGAAGCAGCCTGGCCTCCGCCTGCCGCATCCCCGAAGCAGGAGGTGTCTCGTCTCCATGGCGGGCCGCATCAGGACCAGATTTCGGGCAAGTTGGCTCAGGATTGACCGGCTCGGCACGCTCGATCTTGGTCTTGCAAGGCAGCCGTTGAGGTTCGGTATGCTCCATAGTCTGCTCCGCCTTGATCTTGCAGGGCTCGTGCTCGCGCTCCATAGGCTTGAACACATCGCAGATGCTCCGCCAAGCCAGGGCCTCCTGCGACGCGGGTTCCTGCGCCACGTCGCGCCATTGTGCAGCCAAAGCCTTGCGGAGCTCCCTCATCTCCGCCACGGTGGCGTCGTCCGATGTCAGGGACAAGAACGGGGAGCCTCTCTTCAGCGCAATCATAGTCCAGCACCCGCAGTTGCCATCCCCGGGCACATCTCTGGCTAAGTGCTTTGCCTCTGTATGCAGCCGCCGCAGCATCTCTTGCAGGCAGGCGGTCCTCTCGAACAACATTTCCATGTCCTGCATGTGAATCTGAACCATGTAGTCCAAGTCTGTCTCGGATATCTTGGCAAGGATCTGAAGTCGCAGCTCCCGTGCTCTCTGGGCCACACGCTCGGACTCCTCCCAAGCCGTGACACTTCCTGCTGGCCAGGCGGGGAGAAAGTGATTGCACTGCAGCGGATTGTCTGCCGGAGTGAAGTCGGCCTTTGTCAGAACGACGGCCCATGTCTCTTCGCACCTGCTGGGTCCAGGCAGATGTAGCCCGCACGGCAGCATGCCTTCTATGATCTGTCGGGCTGGCACGACTCTCAGGGTGTCGTGCAAGTGCACCACTAGTTGCAAATCTGCGCCCGACATGTTTGCAAAAAGCAGTAGGTCCACAAATTCAAGGTATACGTTGTCTTCAGCAATCTTGGCAGCATGGCGGAGCACCTGTTGGCATCCTTCGCGTCCATCGGGCTGTCCTGGACACAAGTTTGGGAGAGTAAGGAGATATGAACTGTTCTGTGCATTCCGGTATTTGTAGATTGGATATGTCTGCGCTTAATACAGGAGGTGTTGGGGACTTCCTCCAAGCTTGAAACCGAAACACCATCAGCATCGACCCGGAACGCCCCAATTGGAGCCTTGCTGGTCTTCGTGCGGCTGCTCGCTCGCAGGAGCAAAAGCATCAGCAGGAGGAGCTTCTGCCAGAGCACACCGCACACCCCGAACAAGAGAGCGCAGCGTCAACGCCACAGAACTTCAGGGCGAGCCTTGTTGTGGAACTTTGCTTGGAGACCCAGCACTGCGTCCTGGCACTTCAACCGCAAGCACAGAATAGGCAAACGGATTATTCCTTGCCAACCGTACAGGGATGCACCACGGCTCCGGCTCTGCCCCCCCCCCCCCCCCCCCCCCCCTAATTTTGAGCACTTTTGACCCTTTTGGGCCCTCTTGAAGCCCTCTTCTGGCCCAAGTCCAGGTTTTGGGCTCGAAACCCCCAACCTGGACCACTTCCAGCAGTTTTGTGCCAGCCTTCCCACCCCCCCCCCCACCCCTTCACCAACCCCTCTCTTTGAAATGTAGCCGAAAACCTCAATTCTGCAAATTCGGCCGCATCTCAAAGATGTCGTCGAATCCCCCTCAGGCCCAGCCCCTCAGGCCCAGGTGTTCTGTGAGAGGTTGGCTGGGTTGAGGCCAGGCGAGCCTGGATAAAGTCCTGTTGTCCTGGCCCCGACCCCTGGACAGCAGGAAAAAAAGAAAACTGACTCGCAAGGGCTCTCCTAGGTTTGTAACCAAAAGACCAACGAAATATAATCCTGTCGGCCCAGCCCGCTCCCAAGGACAACGGGAAAACATCCCCAGCAGGACACAGGCCACTTTTAGGCTCACCCTTCCTGTTAATCCCCTGTGGGTTGGGGGGGGGGGAGGGGGGGGGGGGGGAGGTTGGCTGGGTTGAGGCCAGGCGAGCCTGGATAAAGTCCTGTTGTCCTGGCCCCGACCCCTGGACAGCAGGAAAAAAAGAAAACTGACTCGCAAGGGCTCTCCTAGGTTTGTAACCAAAAGACCAACGAAATATAATCCTGTCGGCCCAGCCCGCTCCCAAGGACAACGGGAAAACATCCCAGCAGGACACAGGCCACTTTTAGGCTCACCCTTCCTGTTAATCCCCTGTGGGTTGGGGGGGGGGGGAGGGGGTGGGGGGGAGGGTGGGCCACCTTCAGATAGAGGTACCATTTTTACAAACCAAGACGCAGAGGGTGGAACCCGCACGTCCCGGACAGGAGGTCCAGATAAAGTCCTGTCGTCCTGCTCCCCTGTCATGGGACAGCAGGAAAAAAAAAAAGCCCTACTCCACACATCCCTCATGTCCTTGTGTAATCCCTGAAGCCTACTCGTGGGGATAGAGCTAGGTTTGTTGACCAAGGACCAGGGAAATAAAATCCTGTCGGCCCGACCCGTTCCCAAGGACGGCAGGGAAACATCCAGCAGGGAGAAGCGGCTACAGGCCTCCCCGTTTCTGGGGCTGAAATCCCTGCGCACCTTTAAAAACCTCAGCCCTCCCAGGATTTTATCTCCACGATGGCCGGGAGCCCCACCGACAGGCCTAGACCCATGGAACGCAAAGTGTGCCACCCGCACGTCCCGCTATGTCGGATTCCGAAGCCGGTCTGGATAAAATCCTGTCGGCCCGACCTCTACACCAGGATTGCAGGAAAAGATGCCTTTCTCCTGCCTTGAATAACCTGGAGTCTGTGGACAACAAAGAGTCAACATAAAATCCTAATGGCCCGGCCCACCGCCCCAGGACAGCAGGAAAACACGATAGTCCTTGTGATCCTTCTCGCACATGGCCTGGATCTCCATTACGTGTACCTGGCAAAGCACATACCCACTGGGACACTTGTGACTCTTGTGCTACTTCTGCAGCGTGCCCTCAGGCTCATTTTCCAAAGACTATAAAGAATGCAAATATCGACCATGCGCTCCTTGTTGAGCCAGTGCCGGCTGCTCGCTTGCAAGAACAGCAGGGTCAGCATCAGGAGCACCTGGCAAAGAGGGTTTAGGGTTCAGGGTTTAGGGTTTAGGGTTTAGGCAACGGCAAGTCACGAGCACCTAAGCCAGGCATGCCTGCAGCAACGCGCGCGGCCACGGGTTCTTGATGAGAGGCCTGCCCAACTAAAGTCATGAGTGGAGTGAGTCTTGAACAGCCGTGCGGCGCCAGCCCTTGCTGTGCCTTTTTTTTGTCCGTCCCCGCATGATCTCACGTTTCCCTATCTGTGCACGGAGCAGGGGCAAGTCGGCCCAGGCTGAGGAAGATGCCCCCACGTGGTCTTCAGGTCAGACCCCTCATGGATGCACGGCGTGCTCGGAGGGCGGCGCCGCCGCAGCATCTGAAGTGGAGGCTGGGGCCACTCGCGCTGCGTCGTCGGCCTGCAGGATCTGGAACTGTGGACGCCACAGCTTGCAGATGTGTTTCACGAAGGTCGGCGGGTACGCAGCCGTGCCAGCCAAGTCCTTCCCCCCGGTCACGCATCCCTTGGAGTCTCGCCTCATCAAGCACGAAAGTAAAACAAACAAAGAAACTGTGACCCTGCACCCGAAGCCATAAACCGACCCCCCTCTTTGCATCTAGGCTCGCTCAAACCCTGCACCTTAAACCCAGCCTGTAGTAACACTTCGGCTGCTTTCCCGCGGCGACTGCCCTGCTCCGCTTGGCCTCCTGCTTCTTGCTGTGCCGCTCCCGCGCCTTCTTCGACAACGTTCTTGAGAGCCTCGGGCACAGGCGGCACCCTACCGCCGCTGCTGCTAAAATCTTCATAAACTTCTGCAATACACAGGAACCAAAAGACACACGCTCCATCAAGAGGGAAGCGTCCCCGTAAGAGCATCCACGGACACAAGCAAGTGCGTGCACTTAAGGAGCTCGTGCCCGAATAAGCATAACCAGGTTGTTACAGGAATCAGCTGCAGACGTTGCTGCAGCGCTTGGAAGCACGGCATCCTGTACATGACACTGGAGCTGGGCTGCTCGATGACATAGATCAATCGCCGTCTTGAAGATACCAAGTTCAGGAGGCATACCTGGGCTGGACGGTTGAAGCCTGGCTACACTACGCTCATGCTACGCTGGCTGCATATGTCTCTACTGCCTCATCTGCCTGCTGAGCGGGCTGAGCCAAGTCGCGAAGTTCCTCACGATCGCGTTCGACATCCGAACAGCTTTGGAGCGCTGGTTTCCGTAAATGCCAAGCACGTGCCGCAAGTGCGTGCCGCAGGACATGAAGATGAAAACTGAGCACGGTGGTCCGGCAATGATGCAGGCGCCGGCTAGCCTCAGCAGCAGCAGGCACGTCACACTTTCTGGACCTTGCCGGCAAAGAACGCACGTATGAACAGACGAGATTGGAGGGTCAAGGGGGTTGGCACGTTCGGCTCTTTTCCAGTTCTGAACGGATGCGGGGACTTGTGTCACTTGTCTAGCCAGGCGGGGCTTCTCCATGAGCTACCACGAAAGATGCCGCCGCCGCAAAACTGAGCAATCTCTGGCTCAGGGTGATCAAGATGGAATAATATGAATGCTACGGCTCAAAACACTCAAGATACTCAAGTCTGCATAGGTTGCGCACGCTGTCATTCAACCTGACGCAGATGACACAGGCACATTGCTGGACGATCCGGATGAGCTGGCGATGATCTCGTTGATGAGACCCAGAAACTCAAGCTTCCCCTCTGCAGCCAACTTCGAGGCGATCCTTCCGAAGAGCGCGCGGACCACGCGTCCATATGCTTCCTTCTGGCGTATGGATCTGAACCTTTGGTTGAAGTAGTCTGGGGCGCGCAACATCATCTCCTTCCAAGCAGGACCAACCCTGCCATCTGTCAACCTCACGCGGCCCTCACTGTCCAGGATCGGCTGAGATGGATAGTGTTCCTTCGCCAGCACCAGGAGTTTCTGCAACTCCTGCCGAATCAGCCCCTCCCCGAACACTGTCACCTGCGCATCCCCAGATTCTGCAGGGACAGCTGTGATCTGGTCGTCTGGCTGAGGCACGTGGCGCAGCCTGGCCTGTCTCTTTGCTCTTTTGGAAGGTGGAGTCATGAGATTCATGAGCTGGTCGCCATGGTCACTGTTGCACTGCCATGACATGCGCTTGCGCTGCTTGCACGGTGGCGTCGCAATAGGTGATGCTGAGGTTGACGTGGGCGAGAAAGGGCAAGCTGATGTCGGAAGAGAATCATCAAGGTCGGCACGCTGTCTCACCTTTCTAGATGGTCTCGGAGGGGGAGTCAAGGATAACTCGCTTGGATCGCTTGGGCCGCCGCTGAGAATGCTGACAATGCCAGGCGAACCGGCACTCCCCTGCGACCCCTGGGCCTCCACACCTTCATCATCATCATCATCAACAGGATCATCATCACTGGAGACAATGTCATGAAACTGCACCATCTGCACTGGCTCATCCCCTATCTCGATCAACTCGATCGTCTCGGAGGTGTCCTGGACTGCAATGTCCAGGGAGATCAACGGTGACATGGACGACATGGCTGGTCACCAAGCTGACGGGTGACAGGACAGTAGCAGAGGTATGCTGATTTTGAGCACCACTCATTGTGATCATTATGCTCCTTGCTGTCAGACAACGTTTCACTGCAGCGGCACTACCAGCAAATTGGTGCAAGCAAGGAGCGCAGACATGAGAGTGTCCAGGTACGCGTAGAAGCCTCTGCTCGAAAGTATGTCCTGAGCCTCGTCCTCCCCAAGCCTGATGTCAAGGGAAGCTGCGTGGAACCCTTGGCGTTCCCAACATCGCTGGGCTCGTCTCGAAAGGCCGAAGATCTCGATTGCATGATACACCTGACGTCCTGACGTTGCGACGCAACGGACGCACAGGTAATTGATCCACCGTATACTACTGTCTCGCACGGGACATGAGCTGCAGAAAAGCCCTGTCCTGCCCAGTTGTCAAGGTAGCTCTGCAACGCCTGCAAGTGGAGATCAGGATTGAACCAACTCTCCTCGACCACTGCAGTGAAGGTGTCGTCGTTGGCAGCGAGGCTGGTGGGAGTCAAAAGAGACAGGAGGCAGAAGCAAAGCAGAGCCATGGATGCGGACGCCTATGGTTCCTGAACTTCGAGCCCTGGAGAGGCAGGTCACGCCAGTAATTGAACATGAGTCAGTGACAAGACAAGGCAACCAGATCAACCAGTGAGCAGTTCAAGCGCCGGCCGCCAGCCCTGCCTCAAGAGTCGGCTGTGGCTGGAGAGCGGTCTCAGCCTAGCATTGCATCATGCCCACGTCTGGCAAGGCCCTGAGCTTGCTTACCCCTGCCCCTGCCTTCACGCTGTGCTCTGCCTGGATGTTTGGAGCCTGCAGCCGGGAACGCTCAGGATGCTCAGGATGCTCAGGGATTAGGGTATGGGAAGGCTCACGCAAACACGCAATGCGCATGTAGACAATGTCATGCACTGAGCGTCCTGACCCCTGCCCCTGCCTTCACGCTGTGCTCTGCCTGGATGTTTGGAGCCTGCAGCCGGGATGCCCAGGGATATAGGGTACGGCGCGCACACGCGGGAAGAAACATGCAATGTGCATTTACAAAATGTCACGGGCTGAGCGTGCTGACCCCTGCCCCTGCCCCCAACGCTCAGGATGCTCAGGGCTTGGGTTATGGTGCGCACACGCGGGAAGGCTCACGCAAACATGCAACGTGCATCCACAAAATGTCACGCCCTGAGCGTCCTGACCCCTGCCCCTGCCTCCACACTGTGCTCTGCCTGGACGTTTGGAGCCTGCAGCCGGGAACGCTCAGGATGCTCAGGGCTCCGGGTATAGTGCGCACACGTGGGAAGGCTCATGCAAGCATGCAACGCGCATCTAGAGAATGTCATGCACTGAGCGTCCTGACCTCTGCCTCTGCCTCCACACTGTGCTCTGCTTGGATGTTTGGAGCCTGCAGCGGGAAACGCTCAGGATGCTCAGGGCTTGGGTTATGGTGCGCACACGCGGGAAGGCTCACGCAAACATCCAGAAAATGTCATGCACTGGGCTTCCTGACCTTTGCCCCTGCCTCCACACTGTGCTCTGCCTGGACGTTTGGAGCCTGCAGCCGGGAACGCTCATCACGCGCTGAGCGTCCTGACCCCTGCCTCTGCCTCCATGCTGCGCTCTGCCTGGATGTTTGGAGCCTGCATCCAGGAACGCTCAGGTTTCTCAGGGCTTAGGGCATGGTGTGTGGGAGGCTCACGCAAACACGCAATGGGGGGGGTGCCATTTTCGGGGTTTTGGGGGGGGTTGGGGGGGGTTTGGGGGGGGTTTAGGGGGGGTTTGGGGGGAAAATGAGGGTTTGGGGTTGGGGGGGGTTACCAGGATGGAAAAGCACCCTTGTCCATCTTGGTGGGTTGTGGGGGGTTTTGGGGGCGCTGAGCGTCCTGACCCCTGCCCCTGCCTCCACACTGTGCTCTGCCTGGACGTTTGGAGCCTGCAGCCGGGAACGGTCAGGATGGTCAGGGCTTAGGGCATGGTGTGTGGGAGGCTCACGCAATGTGCAATGTGCATCTACAAAATGTCACGCACCGAGCATCCTGACCCCTGCCCCTGCCTCCACACTGTGCTCTGCCTGGACGTTTGGAGCCTGCAGCCGGGAACGCTCAGGATGCTCAGGGCTTAACGTGCAACGCGCAGCCAGAAAATGTCATGCGCTGAGTGTCCTGACCCCTGCCTCTGCCTTCACGCCGTGCTCTGCCTGGATGTTTGGAGCCTGCAGCCGGGAACGCTGAGGATGCTCAGGATGCTCAGGGATTAGGGTATGGGAAGGCTCACGCAAACACGCAATGTGCACTGTGCATCTACAAAATGTCACGCACTAAGCATCCTGACCCCTGCCCCTGCCTCCACACTGTGCTCTGCCTGGACGTTTGGAGCCTGCAGCCGGGAACGCTCAGGATGCTCAGGGCTTAGGGTATGGAGCGCAAACGCGGGAAGGCTCATGCAAACATGCAATGCACATCTAGAGACTGTCATGCACTGAGCGTCCTGAGCCCTGCCTCTGCCTCCATGCTGTGCTCTGCCTGCAGCCGGGACTCAGGCTGCTCCGGGCTTAGGGCCCGAAACTCTTCGGCGTCATCAGGACACGAAAACTCCTAAACTCTAAACTCCTCAGCCCTAAACCCCGAGACCATGGAACCCGATTCCCCCCTTGCTTCACCTGGATGAAATAAACCGGGAAATCTATCTCAGCCCTTAACTCTGCACGGGGCCTCAGGAACGGTGTGCACGGCGCGCTCGGTAATGTCCATGTCGAGGTCGGCCGGGCCCTAACATGGAGCATATACTGCGCACAATGAGAATAATGAGATGGTTTCACAAGTGCAGCACTGGCGGGACTGGGCACCCGCGGTCCTCCATCAGGGCAGGAATGGCAACGTCGTCGCCATTCTGTGCTCTTGATGCCCTTGACTCCCAGTATCGTTGCTGGGCCTGCGACGTGGCACGCTAGGGGGCAGCGATTTTTGTCTAGGTTTTCCGAACATTTAGACAGATGCCAATCACGCCACGGCCTTCGCGAGTCCTCGCTTGCACCCCCGCCCTCGCCACATGCCGCCCAGCCACAGACTTTTGTGCACTTCGTTCTCCGTGCACGCAGCAGTCCATAGCCGAAGCCCATTTCTGGTAGAAAAGTAGGCGTCCTCGGCCTTCCTGCTGCGGCATGAAAGCATAGTGCAACACGGCGGCGTCGGTGGCTTGCAACTCGGAGAGCTTTCGCATAAACATGGGTCTCGCAGATTCTTCGCTGGAGGCACGCCAGGCCCGTCCTGCCGCTTGGAAAAATTCAGGAAAAGGGAAAGAACACATGAGGCCCGAAAGACAAGGGGAACCACAAGACAACATGGGCAGCCTTGCAGTCCACGGTGATCTCCTGCCCAGCCGCGAGGTCCACCAGAGCCACTACCTAAGAAGCGCGCCGAGCCCGAGACGCACATACACGTGCATCCAAGATGAACTAGCCCACCAAACACAGCAACCTGTGAGTCCGACTCCTCCAATCTCACGCAAGCTGCAGCCACGCGCGGAAGCACTACTGACTGCCCCGTAGCCACTTCAGCTGTGCACTGCCACTCCACAAGCTTGGCCGTCGGTACGCACGCGTGGTTGAGGTAGCGTGCTCTCCCCCCGCAGCGGCCTGGGCAGAACGCGATAAAGAACAGTAGTTTAAATTATCAAGCCCAGCGCTACATGAGTAGCGAGGCCGGCCTGCATCCAGTAGAAGCCCTGGCTGACTCTGCAGCGGCACGGCATAGGAGCCTCGCTCACCCTCATCAACAACCAGCTCCCCCAAGAACTCCGTAATGAATGCACCTGCGCGCAGGCTTGCCCAAATCCACGGGACAGGGGGGCGGGGGGTGAGGGGGGGTCTCCTCGAACATTGGGGACCGTTTCGAAACCCTGCCTTTCTTGATTGCGCACTTGCTGAACAGTCCATGGCCTTTCAAGCCAGCCTTCTGCACCACTGGCCCCATGTCTGGGCAATCGCCCCAACCTGCTGGGATGATGTCCATGGCCCTCAGGAGCTTCCCTGCCACTGCTTTTGACACCAAATTCCGCTGCAAAATCCTTTCCCAGCCATCCGCTGGGCTCGCGCCCGCGTCGACATCATCAGAATCCGACATCAGGCGATTCAGGCGTTGTATTTAGATGCTATGCGACTTGTGATCACTCACCTTCAAGTCACGACTCTGGGGAAAGGATGGAAAGGTCATGGGTTCACTGTTTGTGCTCTCACAAGCTACACACACATACACACAAGGAGATGGACATCATGGAGCACATATGCTTTCAGAATGCAACAGGTTTCTGAGCAACCCATGAATGAAAATAAAATCCTGCGGCCTGGGGCCCGCACGCAGCTCAGAAGAACCGCCCCTTCTCGAATCCCTACCCCCCCAACTTCTGCTGAATAAAATCCTGTGGACCTCCGGTTTCGGACCACCAGACGAACCCAGATAAAAACCTAGATTAAAATAACATTTCCGGCTCGAGCCTCAGGATTTCATTCTTGCGCAACCGACCCCTATCACCTATTTTCGGGAAAACAAAAATGGCATTTTCCCAGTCGGGATGTGGAGGTACTGGAGCTGGATTTGAAGAAAGGCGGTGACCTACATAATTCGAGCGTCTGGAAGTATCTTCTGCATCTGGCGGCTGAAGGAAAGGTGGTTGCTGTGGTTGGAGGACCTCCATGCAGGACAGTGTCAAGGTTGAGAGGTGAAGACGGTGGTCCACCTGTATTACGCCGGCGCTGTGGGCCTGAACGGTTGGGATTAACAGTCTTCCTTGGCCACATCAAGAATTAGCTCAAAAGGATGGTGTTTTACTTCTGAAGATGCTTTTCCTATATGACGTGGCGGTGCATTCAAGGTGTGGAACTGCTGAGGTCATCAATGGAAGTTCTGTCTTCTTTGGCATGGAAAATCCTGGGGACCCTGAACTCATAGGGAAAGATTTCTCTCAGAACGGCAAAACGGTCTTGAGTGCTGAGGATCTGGTGGATGGTTCTCAGAAAGGGTTCTCAAGTCCTACCTTCTGGAGTTGGCCAGAGGTAAAAAGCTTTTGTGAGCGTTATGGAATGTACGCTGCACATTTTGATCAAGGAGCATTGGGACATGCTCTGGTGAAACCTACGACTTTCCTGGTGTCTGATATGGAACTATGGGAATCGTTGGAACAGGTTCGCGTGGTTGTTCCGTGGTCGGCAACATTCGCTTCTACCCTGGAAGAGCGTATTGGACAATCCTCCATATGGGCGCGATGGGCGTTTGGATTGGTTAAAAGAATACGTCACAGGTTGGCAAAATGGTTGCATGAGAGCGATGCTGAACGGGAAGCTATGGTGTTAAAAAAGGAAGAGCGAGAAGGAACGTTACGGAGGTTGACAGCTGAGGAGCGAGCCTTCCGTGACCATTGCCTAAGGGGGCATATTCCTTTCAGACGTGATTGTCAAATCTGTGTGTCTGCCGCTGGAAAAGAGCGTCGCCATTTGAGGCGGAAGCATGGGGATGCCTACACTTTATCATTGGACTTGGCGGGTCCATACAAGTGTTCAAAGGATGCTCACCAGCAGAAGCCACGACACGCTGTTATTGGTGTGTATCAGTTTCCAATGTTGGATCCCAATGTGGGTCGCCCTCCAGAAAAGGAGGAAGATGCGGATGCGGTGGAAGATCAGGTGGTAGATGAAGGTGCTGGTGTCGGAGAATGGTTAGGCGATGCAGTCGCTAACTTTGAGGAGGAAGACTCTGCGCCGGTGGAACCTGCGCCAGTTCTGGAGGCAGAGGTGTTGAAAATCCAAGCTTCTGAAAAATCCTGGAAAGAACTGAAGGACCACTTGACCCAGCCTGTCCGTATGATTACCTTCGTTATGGTGGAGCCGATTGTGGATAAACAGCAAACAACTGTTTTGTCGGCGGTTCAAAGAATGATGGCGCGCTTGCAGAGACATGGGTATCCGGTGCTGAGAATCCACTCCGATCGAGCGGGGGAGTTTGTCAATGCACGCTTCCGGTCCTTTTGTGAAACTCGTCTGATATATAGGACCACTGGTGATCCTTGAGTCCCGCAAACAAATGGGCGCGCTGAAGCATGTGTGGGTTTATTCAAACGTGGTGTGAGGTCGCTCTTAAAGGAGGCGCGACTCGGGCCGGCGTACTGGGCACTGGCTGCTCGCCATTGGTCAATGTTACGGTGGCAGAAAGCTGAAAGGGAGTTGGGGTTAAACCCGAAAGCATTGCTTCCCTTTGGTGCTCAAATTCAAGTCAAACGTCGTCCGTGGGAGTTGCTGGGTCCGGATGGAACAAAGAAAGGTCGGCAATGGGTCGATCGTACGCAGCCTGCGCTTCTTTTAGGTCCATGCGATGACCTACCTGGTGGTTATTGGGTGGAAGCTCAAGGGACTGCAAAGGATCCGGATGAACTGGTGTTCTTTCCCTGCACTACGATTTTTAAAGGAACCGCCTGAATTGGAGCTGGAAGGGGTGGTAGAAGAACAGGAGCCTTCTCCTCCAGAGCATCGTCTCAAAGGGAAAAAACCAGCGCTTCGGTTCGCTGATGAGGAAAGTCCTCCTTTACCTCCACCTCGCGATCCTCCAGTTCGCCATCGGTTGATTGAAAAAAGCCCGGCCTCTTCACTGCGTGGTCATGTGGGCTCCTTGCGCTTGCTTCGCAAGCGGGGGGAGAGTCCGCCCTTAGAAATTTTCGAGGATGACATGCAGGGTCTGGGGGAGCTGGAAGAAAATGCAGATGTTGAGGACAATGTTCCTGGTGATGAGTATTGGCCGACTTGCTGTTCTCCTCATGAAAATGCTTATTTGGTCTGCAAAAGTGAGACTGCCGAGGATGGAACTCAGTTGGAAAAAGAAGAGCAAAAAGCCAAGTCAATGTATGAAAGGTCTATGTATGATTACATGGACTGTGAGGAGCTTTTGGAAGGGATTGTATACCCAAAGAGGGTGAATAGAAGAGGTGGTATCAACAATTGGTGCACAAGTACGCGAGCTCTGGTGTTGGGTCACTATACTCATGGCGGAGTGTGTGGTATTACAAAAGAGACTCATCGAAGGCCATGGCTATGTCGTTATCTGGCATCATTCGTGAGGCACCACAATCCTGAAGCCAAATTTTCTGCTCTTCAGATCTCGTGCAATGCTCCGGTATCATTGCATAGGGATCGTCACAATGAGAACCATTGCTGCAATTATGTGTGTGGCTTTGGTGACTATAAAGATGGTCAGCTGTGGGTTGAGGATGAAAAGGTTTTAGAGGAAGGAGCTGAAGTGGTGGAGCAATCCTATGGGAAGAAAGTCTTACCTGGAAAATTGGTCGATATCCACTGGAACTTCATGTCGTTCTTTCCGAGAAAACTGCATGGTCCTATGCCTTGGAAAGGGAACAGGGTATCCTTGACAGGGTACACACCTGTTTTTATGGAGCGTTTGAGCTACAAGGATAGGTGCTATCTTCTCCAATGCAAGTTTCCTCTTCCGGAACCACAAGCTGAAGAAGGTGAAAAAAGGAAGTGGTTAAAAATGACGTTGAAAGAGACCTCGCTGGACGACCTTGCAGAGGAAGTCGACTACGCTGTGTTCGAAGCGCATCAATGGGCTCTAGAGGAGCATTTGAGTATTCGACGCCTAATTGCTGAACAGGAATGTTGCATTTTGGACGAGTTCCATGGATCGGCCAATGAGTCGAATTGGGAAAAAGGATCAGAGACTAGAGAATGGCTGGTTAAAGCAAAAAGGGCTGACGAACGGCTCTCGAAGTTTTTGGTCAAGGCAGCTCAAGTTCAGCAAATGGTACAGAAAATACCGCGCTTGAGGCAGCAGAGGAGGTTGAGCTCCTGCAAACAAAAACAATCCCTACACAAGAAGCCATGCAAGAGCTGGAAAAGTGGAGGGAATCATTGTCGGACGAGGTGACGTCTTTGGTGAAAGAGTTGGAGGTGGTGGAACCAACAACTCAAGAAAAGCTGGACAAATTGGCGGAAGAGCCCAATGCACCGGTGATTGAGTACGTTCCCAGTCTGGTGGTGTTTACCCGGAAGCAAGGGACAGGGAGGCGGCGTGCCCGTATCTGTGCATGTGGAAATTTTATTTCGTCAACGGCAGCTACAGAATATGAAAGGCCGAGGTCCCTCAGTCGTCACTCGCTGTACGCTCCTGGTTTAGATTCAACTACATTTAGGTGTCAAGTGAGGCACGCGGCATGTATGGTGTGGATCATCGCTGGCTTAGACATTTCCAAAGCTTTTCTGACGGCGCCGATGAATAGGGCGCAAAGAGAAGGGCGTTTGGTGGTGGTGCAGCCCCCAAGGGCGGCGGTGAAATTGGGTCTTTGCACAAAGGAGGAGCGGTGGATTGTGAGGAAAGCCTTGTACGGTTTGGCCGAAAGTCCTGCAGCATGGGTGGAGTGGCGAGACCAACGTCTTCAAGGCATGTCTTAGGTGTCAAAGGATGGACAAGCAATGAGCTTTCAGAGGTCCAATGCAGACCCAAGTCTGTTCCTTATTATGGCACAAGAGAAGCCGGAAGGTGCAAGCAAGTTGGTAGGGACAATGGGTCTTTACGTGGATGATTTTTTGATGGCTGGGACTATGACAGTGCTCCGGGAGGCCTTGGAACAGATCAGGAAGGAGTGGAAAACTTCTGAACCCGAGTTCTGTGGTCCAGGCTGTGGTGATGGATTGCTGAAGTTTTTGGGTGTCCAAATCTGGTATCGAAATGGCAGCTTCTTTCTCAACCAGGAGGACTTTGTGAGAGATTTGCTGAACCGAAGAGGGTATCAGATTGATGAAACTGGAAAAGGTAGTAACCTGCCAATGGTGAAGGAAACTCCAGGTGAAGAAGAGGAGGTGGATATTCCTTCCTTGCGAGCGGCTCAAGGTGCCGTAGGGGAGTTCCTCTGGGTGGCAATCAAAACTCGACCTGATTTGGCTTTCTGCACAAGCCAGTTGTCTTTGTGGACATCCCGAAGGCCGCGATTTGTGGTTAAAAAGGCTGAAGAGGTATTTCGATACCTTGCTGCAACTCCAACGTTAGGCCTGACGTTTGGAGCAATCGCAACATGCGAAAAAGAAAGGAATGAGGTGTTGCGTTATGGGCGAGGCGTCAAGGTG